AAAGGAAATGTATAGAAACATAAACGCGATAGTTCTTCAGTTCACAAATGCTTTTGCTTGTGAATGCTCCGGTTCACAAACAGAGGCATTTGGCACAATTTTGGCTTTTTGGCCTGGGCTCTGCATCAGGTGACGCACACAGCTGTGGCCGTCTTTCCCACGTGGACGCGGACGTGGAGTGAATCAAGTCTGTGAACTGAGCTGCCACTCTCCCACTCGTGTCAGGTGGCAGACAAGGTTTGCTTTCATTTAAACAGTGGATGAAAACATGGAATAAGAAACTGATCTGTTACAGTATATTTTCCCTTTTTCAGAAGTGTCTACATTAGGAAAAAAAAATCAACAAGTCTTTTGTTTACGCTGTAGCCCCACCATCATACTGAAAATGTTCTTTCTTCTGAATGAATTTTGATGTTTCATTTTTTAGACTTGCATGCCATGGTTAACAATTGAAAATGTTAATGTTTCTAAGGGTTTATGTATCTACTGAGGAGATTATACACACAGAAAAGACTGTGTTTCTCAGACAGGACTTAAACTGGAATGCAGAGACAGAAAATCCCAGATTGCCTGCAAAATATAGAAGCCAGAAAAGATAAAACCATAAAATTGAGGAATAAAATAGTGGCTAGAGTTATGCTAAAAAAAAAAGATACACTTGTCAAGACAGAGTCATAATTTTAATCTTCTACCCAGTAAGTAACAGAGAAAACAGCCACTTACATGATTAACAACAACTTCAAACCAAACTAACCAACCACAACAACAACAACAAATCCCCAAATCTCACAAAAAGAAAAAATTCTTTAAAAATAGGACCATTTTGTGAAGTAAATTCAGAAGAAATTTTTTTCCATGGTTTAGAGGGATCTAGTCCATTGTCAGCTGGCTCCAAGCCTGGAACGTCCAGGGAGAATGGTAGGGTGGAGACTAACTGTCCAGTTTGTGGGGTTCGGGGAGTAGGGCAGGAGAATAGCACAACAGAGGAATGGGTGAGAGATCATATGTATAGCACCCCAAGCTACAACTCCATGACCTACACAGGCACATTCACTATGCATTTCTTAATCCAATGAAGTTGACAGGTGAGGATTAATAGTCACAGTCATCCTCTGTGATGCTCTACGACTTCAGACCCGTAGGTGCTGCACAGTTGGCTGATGCCTTGTGTTCTAAACAAGAGGAATCTCTGGATGGTGTCCTCTTTCGAAGAGAATCTCTCTTCTTTTTAATTATGGACTGATAGATGTATCCTCCCCTTTATTCTCTTCTTCTTTTCTTTTTCCACCGTCATCTCTTCCTTTACCAACCCCCTCCTGTTTCTTCTTATCATTCTGGGGTGTGGCCATGTTTCATCTCCCAAAGTATTAAAGACAAGAGTTTGTATTCTCTTATTTGTATTTGTAGTGGTTTTGATATTAACATTGCATTTTTATTGAAAAAGAAAATTACCCATTTTCTTTGTATTAAAATTGTGTAATTAGCATTAGAGATATCCACGTACTGAAGGTTTGGTAGAATGAACCTTGAAAACATATAGATACCTTCTAGGAGTGAGAGGAATGGATTGTGATGGTGATTATAAGTCTTTGGAAGCCTCGTTTTTTGCAGATATTTGGTCCAATTTTCCTTTATGGATAATTTCAATGATTTATCATAAGAAATATCCACTTTTCAACTTTAATTGTATATACATCTTTAATTTTCCCTTTTATCTGTATGGATTTTCTCATTTTCATGTATTATTTCATATATTTATATTTTTTCTTTCTTTAGGCTAGTTGTTTTTTTCTGTTATTGTTAACATCAAATCATCAGCTGTTGTATAATGTAGTATTTTCTGACTATCTTAAATTTTTCCACTTTGATTTCATGTTTTCTTTATCTTTGTAAGCTTGCTGATTATTTTAATTATTTTTTTATTTGTCAAAATGACTTAAATATATCACATCAAATAATCTTTGATCTATACTATTGTTTGGGTCTAGATGTCCCCTCAAAGCCTCATGCAGTCATAGGTAGCTTTTATAGAGGTGGTTGAATCTAGAGTGTGCTATGCTGGGATTAAGGGTGTGGGATTACTAAACTAGTACACTGAATGGCTTAACACACCACCCTTGTCTCTGTCTGTAAAAAATAAAAGGGGCAGAAAGATGCTGTTAAGGCTCTTGTTGCTTTTCCTGTCTTGTGCCTGCCATGAACTGTTTCTCCTCTGTGACTCCCCTCTGCCACACCACCCTGCCTTGGAGCCAGCTATGGACTGAAACCTCTACAAACTGTGGGTTAGATAAACTTTTCCTCCTTTAACTTGGGGTGTTAGGTATTTTGCCTCAGCAACAAGAGAAAAAGTAACTAGCATAGCCTACTACCTAGGCAAGGGGTACGTGATCGTTTTGCTTTCATTATCTGCATTCTCTAAATATTCTATAGTTTCACAAGAGACATTTAAAAAGGGGAAATTTGAACATTTTTATCTGTTGAAACTTTTTTCTAGGTTTACTCATTTTATTATTTATTGAATGCTGTTCAGTGAACGCTGTCTATTTATACTTTGCAAGTTTTATAATTGTGCTTTTTATATGTACCAAATGTTTACAGATAAATTATAGTTACTTGTAAATTTGATTTATCTTTTCAGAATAAGGAGTTTGATCATTTCAGTCTGCCTCCTGCTGTTAATTGAGCTACTTTGGACTTCTTTATGTCACAATAGTAATTACTATTATTCTGTTCTAGTACAAGATCGGTGAGCTAAAATCCAATACTTCCAATATATTACTTTATACGAGTCATTTTTTTGGTAATTTTTATTAATTATCTTGAATTATAATTATGGTGTAGTGATATTTATGATGTCATATTTTGGATGTGTGATTTTTACATTTAGTATTACAAAGGTTCCATGTTGAACTCTGTTCCCCCAAAATAGATAATGCTGAAATCCTAGCCTCTAGCAAGTACTTCAGAATCTGACCTTGGTTGGAAGTGATAATTTTGCACATGGACTCAAGTTAAATTTGATCATGAGGGTGGGCTCTTCCCCATGTTTTTAAGCCAAGGAGGGCGTACGATTTCCTGAAAATGAGATCCTAGGACACAGGTATAGAACATTCTTCCTTACAACCTCATAAGCAACCAACTCTGCCGATGCCTTCGTCTTGCTTTAAGGTTCCTAATGGCTTCCCTTTGCAGAATAAGATCTTTCTACTTGAGTAGCTTAGCTCCTTCCCATGAAGCGCAAGACCTCACCCCACCCTCCAGTCTTTCCCAGAACTCTCCCAGGCACCACACTCTCTAGCCTGTGAGCTTTCCTTTGTAGTATGATGCAGTCTTAGTCTCCACAAATCCATTCTCTGTATGTGAAATCCTCTTCCCCTGAATTCAGTTGCTTTCTCCCTTTGGTTCTTGACTCAGTTCGAATCTGAGCTTTTCAGAGATTTCTGTGATCCTTGTATCCAGTCTAATTAACTCGGTAACCATCAGAACATGCCAACACGTAATTCCCAATGTCCTCATAGCTTTGTTTTTTTTCTCATTTATTTGGGTAGATATTTATCATCTCTGCCACCACCAGAATTGCAATTATAAGGCAAGAGTTTTGCGTGTATTTTTATGATGTGTAGAGAAGCTGCCTGGTATGCAGTTGGCAAATGACACATATTTTTGAAGGAATTAAGGTAATTACTATGTAAAGGAAAGAAGAAAGGACAAAAACAAATGCATGTGCGATTTCATTCTCTGCTGTTTTGCAGAAGTACTAGCTTGGGGCCCCTAAGGATTGTCACTAAATGTCTTTCGGTAGTAAAGTGGTTATTCTGATTTGACCTCTACCCTGTGGCTCCCAGTGCTTCAACTAGATAAGCATCAGCCATTGCAAGTTGTAAGAACATTTTTCCACCGTTAAGATAATTTTTACTGGGTTATATTCAGTAATTGCTTATTCCCCCTACTCTGTGGTGGGTGCTACCACCTTGTGGTAACCTAGTGCTCCCCCTAGTGAACTTCAATGTAATTCCCAATATTATCCTCAGACGGCCAAATACAAGTTTAATATTCAAAGACATCTTCATCAAGAAATCCTTCATATACTCCGAGAGGACCACAGAATCTTTCGTCACTAATCATACCCACAGGATTTCAGGAAAAGAGACAAAAAAAAAATAAATTAAAAGAGAGGGAAAGGAAAAGTACATTCTCAGATAATTTAACATTTCTTGCAGCTTTTATGAAAGCAATCAATGTTACTTATACATTTGAAGCAAACCTTAGCAGCTCAATTTAACAACGTTAACCAAAAAGAGCCATAGTTTCACTATCTAGGCAGTGCAAAGGATAATCTGTACCCTTCTTAACCCTAATCGAAAGTCTCATCATCAAGTAGCGGCGTACCCTAAACACCCATTTCTCATTGTTTCAGTTTAAGCTGCGCTCGTGAAATGGTACAAGTAGAGCGTTCGTTTATAGGAACTCTGTTCTTCAGACACACGATCAAATGCTGCAGGAGACCACAGTGTGCTGGGAGAGACGGACGCACACAGAGACCGTTTCAACAGCACTGCACAAAGGCTTGAGCAGAGGTGAGAGAAGGGGCTTTTGTAGTCCAGCACAGAGGTAAGGTAAGATTCCCCAGGGACAGGGTACCTGAACTGAGTTTTCACTTGTTTAAATTACTGAGCAAAGCAATAAATGCTGTGAATGCTTGAAAAGTTCGCTTTGTATAATGAAGAGTGGACAAAGAGGTCTATTGGAATCAGAGGAGGAGAAAGTAGCCATGTGCTTCAGGTCAGATTAGTTCACTAAACATCAAGGAGCTTTTGAGGGTTTATGTTTCACAAGCAGAGAATGCTTGAGAGCAACGGATAGAGGAAGGTGAGTCCTGACAAGGAGATAAGACCACCAGGGAGCCGGGAATGCTTGCTGAGGTTGTGAGAGTGCCCACACCGACACGCTCAGGGTCACGCTCGAATGCCTTAGCAAGCTAACAAGGGGAATGCACTTACCAGTACTTGCCCCACAAAAGTTTGCGCGGAAAGCAACATTTCTATTTGATTGCGAAATACTCCATAAGAGGAAAGTCTTCTTAAAGGACTATGGGTAACGAAGTCCGATGAGAGTAGTTCCTAGAAAGCAACGGAGAGGCATTGACAGAGTGAGCTGCAGCCCAGGAAGAGCGCTTGTCATGGCATCAGCCAGAAATCACTCTACCTTGCCTGGCCCAGGGAACAATGGACGCTCTCACCCAGTATCTCACAGAACGAATTGTATTGGTTTTGTATATTGCTCTGCACAGCATTTTAATTCTTTACACTTTATCCGTGGTTTTCTTGCCTATGCTCAGCCCCAGATCCTTCAAATGAACATCACTGTACTTGTCAAGTTTGATTGTAAAATTCTTCTTTTTGCTCTGGGAATGAGAGTTTTCACACTTTTCTTCCTTTTTAACTTCCTTACCTGGTACCAGAGTCTCTTTAATTTACGATCCTCCCTCATATGTATACAGTGGCTTTACCTATTACATTCGAAACTTACAGTCATCCTATGTGGCAAGTACAGGAGGTGTGACTAAATCACTTTGATATTGAAAAGGAGTCTAGGAATACAGAAATTAAATATTCTCCCAAGATCAGACAAGGGAAGGCAGGAGTCTGAGAGAGCAGCTCTATGTCTTAATAAAGTCTAACACCACCAGGAAGATAGATACTGATTTAGGACTAGTTACACCTTTGGAGGAACTTTCTTTCTCTTTTTCTTCCCAGCTCTTCTTCCCTCCAGTCACCCCCCCACCATGGTGCTAGAGCACAAACCCAGGGGGGCACTCTACTATTTAACTGCATCCCCAGCCCTTTCTATTTTTTACTTCAAGACAGAGTTTTGTGAACTTGCCTAGGTGAGCCTCAAACTTGGGGTCTCCTTGCTGCTGCCTCCAGAGTAGCAGGCGTGGTGAATTGCCCAGTCAGCTTCACTCTAACTTTTCAGAAAGCTCATTTTACATGAATTCAGGGGGTTCAAAAAAAATCACTTAAGGTTTGTGCTAATATTTACTGTGTGGTAGGAAGGGAAATCTTATTAGAAGGCTCTTTTATGGAATTCATATTCTGATTAATGATTTGACCTCGTATACACATGACTCAGCGTGTGCATTTCTGAGAGGTCTAAGAATAATTAAAAACTGTTTTGTATGACATGAATATGAGGCACTTATTTGAATTTCATGTTATAGTTAGAGGTCACTTCTGTGCAAAAACAAATTGGCTCTAAGAAATGAAAAAATCTTACTTGTGGGTGTAGAACTCTTTAAAATGCACATTTATGGAAAGATACCCAGCAGAGGGATGGCTGGGTCAAATGGAACCTCTAGTCCCAGCTCTTTGAGGTATCTCCATATTGATTTCCACAGTGGTTGCACCAGTCTGCACTCCCACCAACAATGGAGAAGGGTTCCTTTCTCCCCACAACCCTGCCAACATTTGTTATTGGTTGATTTCTTGATAGCAGCCATTCTTTGTGGGGTGAGTTGGAATTTCAGTGTTGTTTTCATCTGCATCTCTCAAATGACTAGTGATGTGGAACATTTTTTCATATATTTGCTTGCTGCTTTAACTTCTTTGTCTGAGAAATGTCTGTTCATTTCAGATGCCCATTTTTTGAATCGTATCTTTATATTTGGGGCATTCCTCTGCTGGGTATCTTTCCAGAAGAATTAAAAGAATCGTACCACAGTGATATATGCACACCCATGTTTATAGTGGCACAGTTTGTAATAGCTAAAACTTGGAAACAGCCCATTTTCCATCAGTTGGAGATAGGATAGAGATGTGGTTTTTCTATAAAATGGAGTACTACTCAGCCATAAAGAATGAGAAATTAGACTCATTCATAGGAAAATGGATACGTATTGAGGATATACTCCTAAAGTGAAATAAATAAGTCACACGTGTAAATACCAAATAGTTTCTCTGGTGTGAATAAACTGTAATAGTACATAAGATCCTAATGAGATAACTGAAATTGTGAAATGGGAAGAAAAGGGTTAAACGTTTAGGGAAAGTGGGAAGGGTAGGGGAAAGGTATTAAGGGAAAAACATGAGAAAATGAAAAAAATGGAAATAAAGTGTTTGTAAATGGGGAGGGGAGGAGGGGGTGAAGGGAAGGCAGGGGTATGGGGAAAGGATGAGAACCAAGACCTGTCATGTAAAGGTGCAAGATCCCAATAATGAATGTAACTGCACTGTATACATAAAATGTACCAATAAACTCAATGAAAGAAAAAAAATGCACATTTATGGAGAAATTGTAACTCTCCAAATAATTTTTGAAAGGAGTTTTCACAGTATCTGGATGTATGACAATTTTGCACTTGGTTAATTACCTATTCCAAAGGCTTAGAGAGAAATAGAATACTTTCAATTTATTTAAATATTTCTGTTAATTATTAAATAATTAAATATTAATTATTATCTGAGTGAGAAGTCATTCAAACTCAAGCTTCCAAGAGCAGAGCAGTACAGTGTATTCACAGCTCTGACCCCACTTAACATTTTATGACATGAATTTCACTCAAAGTACACATGAATTGAAAAATATACTCTCATATTTTTGTAGCCACATAAAATGCTTGTAATGGGAAAGAAGAAACATTTCCCGGAGCAGAATTTGTATAATTTCCATTCTACATTTAAAAAATGTTTTTCCTTTAACAAAGCTGCTTTTTTGACTCCAGTGGCAACTTTATAAAAAGTTAACATCTTGATCTTATTCAGATTTACACTGATATGATAATTATGTGTGTACAGTTTTTATTGCAGTCATGTTCTACTACGCCAAAGACAAGTATTCAAGGGTTTCTCTAAATTTCAAAATTCAAGCCACAAAGACTTGACTAAATAATGTGACTATAAACAAGGACAGAAAATCTGCAAATGTGCACGCTTCACAGCAGCTCCCTTCTGTCTCTCTCACCTTCTCCAAAATCTTGTTTCATTAACAATCTCTACTCTTAAAAGTGCATTGATCAATTTAGAGGTAAGTGATTTGATTTAAATGATTACTGGGATCTTTAAAAATTTTTAAACAGTGTATTAAAACAACAATAGAAATGCATTTAATACTAATCATTGATTAAAATTCCAAAAAAAGCAAACAAAATCCTCTTAAATATATAAATACTTAAATATAGAAAATAGCCATCAATAGTCAGCGTACATTTAATAGTTGTTGGAGAAAAGTGAAGTCAGCACTTGGTGCCAGGGGAGATTTAAAAATGAGACTCTTCAGGCAAATGCTGCCTGTGGGCCAGCCTTGTACTATGAAAATTTAAACCTGATTTATATATAATATATAAATTTATATATATAATATAGAGATATGAAATCACACCACAAGTAAAAACTTGGCAATTTATTTATAAAATGCAATATACAAGTACAGTATATTCTTCTTAAAGAATGTAGCTTCTCAGGTTTTAAAACACCCTTGTTTTTCATTCCATTGTATATTTTAAAATAAAAAGAGATGAAAACCTAGAAGCCGATTTGCCATACTCACTACCCATAAATCAGTGTCTCTGAATTATTTCCTTGATATTTATGCCACTCTTAAAGTCTTAATGCAGAAATAATTATTACTAGTGTGAACTCAGTAGCAAGTCCATGTGCTTCAAAACTGGGTTCATTTTAAGGCCCAAAACTAAATTGCTTATAACCAACAATGTTAAAAATTTACCAAGTTGCTATAAATTAGTTATGTCATTCCTCCATGTTAAGAGAAATTGTTTAAGAAGATTTTCCATTTTTTCAAAAACAAAACAAAACAGAACAAAAAAGGTACAAAACAAAAATGGGAACATTTACACAGGGCATGATAAAACTCTGCCTTTTGATCTCCATTAGAAGTCACTAGGTAGTGTTTGAATCATTTATTTCCCACTCCTAGGCAGCACCGCATGAGCCAGCTATCATTTATTCTTGTTGTTACAGCTATTTCTCAACCTCATATTCCCTTGCAGAGCTGGCTTGGGAATAGTGTCTTAGCATTTGGGCTGGGATAGGCATGCTGCGCTTGTGTGGGAAGTTGACATTTCTTACTCCTTTTCCTCTCCTTGTAGTATCTCGTGCAACTGTCTTTCTAAGAGCAGGGATGGCAGACACTACGTTTACGGGCATTTATTTTCAGAGCGGTGACCTCAGTGTCCCAGACTAACATTCATCACCATCACCAGCCACATAGGCAGGGGTGGGAGGCCTGGCCTCACCCGTGCCAGCTTTAGAATGGCAGCCTGGGTTTCTGTGCCCCCCACTGCTTCAGGAGGACCAGACCAAGCCCGAAAACTCAGGGGAAGCCTAGATTATTTGTGAAACACGAACACAGACCAGAGTATCTCTGGTTTTCACACAGCGGGGCCCCAAATAAAACAACGGACCTGCACAATTCCTGCTCTCTTGAAGCTTTGCCTTTTTTCAATGACTCTCCAGCTTATTCTAATAACGGATAAGATGAGAAGTCCAGTGAAGAAGGTCACAAAGGAGGAAAGAAGAAATGCTGCTTGAATTTCAATTCTGCAGGACATTTTCCCCAGTTCCTTCCTCCTTTCCTCTGGCGGCTTTAGCTCAAAACATCAGGAGGCAGAATCGTGGCGCTGTTCTGTGACGTCACGATGGCATGGTAACAGTTCTGGGATGTGAGGTTCCTCAGATTACTGCACCCTAACGCGATGGTGATAGCCAACGTGGCATCCCGAGAACCAGAACTGCCAACCGCTGTGTTGACGCACGAGCTGCAAATTAGTCAACAGGTGGAGATAGGTAGCAGCCACGGTGTGGACCGCCCAACGAGGAGAATTCTAGACCCAATTGTTACTGACTTTCCTCTGTGACTGGGAGAGATCACATCTTCTGGGGCCGGGATCATCTGGCTTCCTACTGGGCTTATACAGTCAGACAACTTCCAAACGACTTTTCGGATAAATTGAATCAAACCAATTTGTGTGGGACCGGATGGCTTCTGCCTCCCGGGAGCAGAATAGTCTCAGAGGACAGAGGAGAAAGACTGCAAGGATTCTGTTTATCCTTTAAACACAGTTGCTGATATGTAGGGAAAATTCATCTAAATAGCTAATGTACGACAAGAAGTCTAGTTATCTGTATAGTGCATTTGGAATTTTGCTCAGAGTGGATTATAGGTGGTCTCGCCCCCGACAGGTAACTCTGAGATGATGGGCGCGGTAATTTGACGACAGTAATCACTGCACTATTTCTAAATGCAGCAGAACATCAAGTTGTTTTCCATTTATATATTTAAGAAAAACCAACAAGAATAACTTGAAATATAAAAAACCTCAAAAACTTCTGCTTCCCTTGAGATAGGACAGGCGGTTACAGGTTGTGCGGTCACAGCCTGACCGTTACCGTGCCTGTGAGCCTGGTCTGCTCATCGCTCTTGCGCTTTCAGCCCTGCTCTGTCACCAAGTCATTTGGTCCAACAGAGGCAAAGTCCAGCACGAGAGAAGTTTATTTTCTTAGATGTTCTCAAAGGCAGAAGCGATGCAGTACCTTGCAGCTCCCACAGGTGGCAGGTGAAATGTGGGAATCCCACGGAGGGCCCTGTTTATTCGCCACGAAGGCCCATCATGAGGTGGTGGGTGGGGCCCTTGGCAGCCTGGGCGTCACTGGAACTCACCACGGGGATGCCGTGGGCCACGGGAGAAGGGAGAACAGTGCTTCTCAGAGCAGAGAAGAGCCAGTCAGACAGGGTGCGATGACCAGAGACGGCTGGTGGCTTCGAGGGTCCAGATTACGGGAGGACCTGTGCTCCAGGTTAGGGTTTCACAACTAAGCAGACAGCAGCTGCTTTATCCTAAGAACAAGAGAAAACATTTGAAAGATTATAAGCTGTAAAGAATGAGAAATTAGAGTCATTCATAGGAAAATGGATACATATTGAGGATATACTCCTAAGTGAAATAAGTCACACATGGGTAAATACGGAATAGTTTCTCTGGTGTGAACAAACTCTAATAGTACATAAGATCCTAATGAGATAATGCACCATGTGAAATAGGAAGGGCTAAAGGTGTAGGGAAAGTGGGAAGGGTAGGGGAAAGGTAACAAGGGGAAAATATGAGAAAATGAAAAAATGGAAATGAAGTGTTTGTAAATGGGGGGGTGAGGAGAGGGCAGGGACGAGGGGGGAAAATGAGAACCAAGACCTGTCACGTAAAGGTACAGGATCCCAGTGATGAACGTAACTGTACCGTGTACCTAAAATGTACCGGTAAACTCAATGGGGGAAAAATGAAAGCTTATAAGGAGAGGAGTGAGGGGATAGGATGACAGTTGTGAAAGCAACCCCTGGCTTCTCTGCTGAGATGGCGGGAGGCCTGGGGCCTGCAGGGGAGCAGATGTGAGCTGCCAGAGAGGCAGGGTCAGCCAGAAAGGAGGGGTTCAGGAGCTGAGCCCAGGAGCCTCGGAGCTGGCTCTGGGTTTCTGCAGGGCATTTCCGTAGTTTACTGCTGGGCCTTTAAAATATAATCTGAGAAATAAAGGCTTTCTACTTTTTTTTTTAAAAAAGCATATGAATGATTTTATTAAGAAAATGCTTCACTTTGTACACATCTCCACATCTCTGTAATCTACCTCTGGACATTGAAATATTCTGGAAAAGGTATACTTTATAATAGGATGAATAAATGTTTAATTTTGAAAGTTTACTTTCTGTGAAGTATGCTGTATTGGAGAAAGAACAATCAAAACTTCATTTTTAGGTGTGTGTATAGTAGCACTCGTGAACGCACACACGTGTGTGTTTACAATGCTTTTGAAAGCAATAAGTTATGTTGCAATGTTTCCTTGTAAGGGCATAAATCCTTCCACTCAATATTACAACTTTACTTTCCTCCATTCCTACAAGCCCAGGCTTATTTTCCACCCTCAAAGACCACTCACACCGTTGTCTAAACACGAGTGAATACACTGTCATCGATGACAGAACTTGCCGAAAGTCAAGGCTGGGGGTGGCTGTAATTCCACCGAGCAAGTTCCTGGTGAAATGAAGACATCACAGGAGCAGCTTCGAGTCCCTGTGTCCCTGCAGATGGCGTGTGTCCATCCCTCTGGAAATGTTACTTACGGAACATCTGAGTTTCTCAAGATTGTGTGTGGGACCGTTTTAGTTACTGAGTCTTCACCTTACAATCTTTTACATTTCCATTTTTGCACCAACCCGTCTCTTGCATCTTCATCAACATGGCAATAGGATAGTAATTACTTTTGGAGAAATCTCGCTTTTGAGGGAGCATGATCTATTCATGGTTATTTAGATCTATGGCATATTGATATCCACCCACTCTTTGAAAAAGGCCCTGCCCTTTATCATAAACTGTTCCCTTAGGGTCTATCCAAACATTGTACTGTGATGCAAATTTTAATCCAGTAGCTGGATGTGTTCAAAAGCCCATCTCTGTGTCTTTGCAGATCTGTTTTTAGAAAGTAACAGCTCTGACGTGGCTGATATTATGAAATTCATAGCTGCATTTGAAAATTAGTTGTTCGATAAAATTTGTTGGTATGCTTTTGGAGTATTAACCTTTGGGTCAAGTTTCTTATGCTCCCTGAGTATTGGCTTTCTCATCAGTAAATAGAGGAGGTCAGACTGGGAATTTTGATATCACCAGCAGCTCCATGCTGGGAATTCTTTACAGTTCTAGTCATTTCTCTAACAGACAGTAAACTTTTATCACCTCTCAGTGTCTGACTTCATCCCCCAAATACTTTGTATTTGACATAACCAAGTAAGAAGGAAGCATCATTTCTGAGTGGATTTTTTAAATTAACTGGGAATGTAATTTGATTTCTTTTTAGTCATATCATCCGATATAGCTTTTTCCCCAGAAGGAACATGGTTACCTTAGCCCCTGTGTCTGATTCCAGAGCCCCTATCTCGATGGGATCGAGTGAGAAATATGGTAACTAGTTTTCCAGAGAAACCATTATACCTTTTCTGTAGACTGATACAAGATAGATAGATAGATAGATAGATAGATAGATAGATAGATAGATAGATAGAAAGACAGGTAGATAGATAGATATATAGGTGTCGTTTCCCCCTAGTATTCCATTCATTAATTTTTGTCAAGAAGTTGCATTTTGCAGCACTGCTGAATTATTCTTCATTCTGGATATTTCTGAAGTGCATTTGTGTGTCTGTAGGTGTCTCAAAGACATGGAAATGTTACTTGGGTAATTTACTAAGCGCAAAGTGAAGAACTTCCTAAAGTCATTTATTGTGTTGACTTATTCCTAATCTAAAGTGTGGAGAAGAATCCTTTTCAAAACTTCTAGTGTCCCTGTCATGTAAAGGTACAAGATCCCAATGATGAATGTAACTGTACTGTATTCCTTAAAATGTACCAGTAAACTCAATGAGGAAAAAAACCAAAATTCTAGTGTTGTCTTGAATTTCTTCCTTTGGCCAGTAGATGGAGGTATTTCACAGGGAGTTACATAGCAAGGACCAAACTGCTTGTTTTTTTTGGTTTTTTTTTGGTCTTGTTTATGTTTTTGTTTTTGTTGTTTTAAAAATAAGATGGAGGAACCCACCCGGAAAGGGGAAACAAAAGCAGGAAGTAAGTGAGGAAGAGAGCTGTGTCCCATCCTATAATAACATCAGGGCTTTCAGACTCTTGTGCTGCACTCTGAACTTGCTTCCTGTTCAGGCTCTGTCTGTTTACCTTCTGAGCATCTATTTTTTTCTTGAAAGAACGGAAGGATAAATTAAATTGTTGGTAACTCTGGAGGTTCAAACAAAGAACAATCTCCATGGCTCCTTGAGAGTTGTGCAAACCTTTTCACGAAAATGAATAATGCAATCAGTCTCTCAGCAATCAGGCCAGCCAAACACCACACTGACAGTTTTATCAGAATGCTTAATGGCCACCAGCAGGAGCAGGCAAGGCGACCGTCCAGAGCCTCACCACTGGCAGTGCCCGTAGCAACGCTGGCCTGGCTGTGGATCCAGGGCAGTGATTACTGTGCTGCCCTATTGTCCACTAGAACTGCTCCTGTTTGGAATTACTGGTCCACCGTCAAAAGGCCGCTGAGGATCTCCGAGCACCGTTCCAGTGTCTGGTTGCATTATTCCCAGGCTTGCTCTGAGTGTTTGCTTCCAAAATCCTAATTACAGTGAACCATGCATTTGTTTGAGCCCCAACATGCAGCTTACGTGAAAACACAGTTGTCACCAGCCGCATAGGAGATGAAAGCCTTGTTTTCTGTATCGGCTGCCTGGAGCTGGCGTGTTCACACAGAGGCCGCCTCCCCAGGCCCCTGTCTCCTGGCAGGCTTTGGCAGGACATGAAAGAACTGTTCTCTAGCTCCATCTTTGGTTTGGGGACAGTGCAGCAGTTTTGTAGTTGTCTCATGAGAGAAACTAAAATGACAGAGAAACAGAATGACTTTCCAGAAATAAAATTTAACCCATATCCTTTAAAGAAAACCCAAACACTGATGTGATTTGCAAGCATGAGGCAAAGGCAGTGGCCTGGAACTGGTTAACATCTAAGCCAGTCTCTCTCCTCTGTTTTATCAAGGATAATCCTCCTTGAACTCTTTTGGTGTTACTTTCTTCATCCATATTATGATTTTAACTGCATTTGTCTAAAAAAAACCCCATCTTTATATGCAATGCTTGTGATGTGGAGCTGTTTGTGGTAATATATTTATTTTACTTTGTCAGCATATCCTCCAGGGGTTGTAAAATATAATGTGAAAGAGTTGTGTACATTAGCATTGTGATGAAAATTATCGAGCATTAAATCTATTTAGGTCCTACTTTTACTTATTCCTTTAAATAGGAGGAAATTAAGTTCCAGGCAGAGGACTTTGTTGTTGAATCTGAAAGCAGACTGAGGCTACTCCAACCTATCCAAGTGCAAAGGAGTTTGGAGGCAAAAAGGTGGTGAGTAGTCACCAGGATGAATAGAGAGCACGTCTGCCAAAAGTCTCTGAGCCTCCTGAATGTTTAACAAAATCTTCTAATCTCATTTCTAACCAAAATTAAGCTAACGGGGCTGCGTGAGTGCTGCAGGAGAGATAAAGATGGGATCCTTTCCGGCCGGGAGAGATAGTGAAAAGAGAGAACGTACCAACGCAGCGGCAAGATGTTATCTGCCGTCAAGAAAGCCAAAATGGCCAACTCTGTGAAAGCGAGGCCTTCCTTCCTCACGATGCTGTCTCGCAATCAGTAGCACCCAGCATCCATCCTTGACCAGCGAGCCTCACTTTGAATTCTCTGCTTTAAAGCGAAGGTTTCTCCTAGGCGATGTTGACACAAGAGGGCAGTATTGACTAACTTTTGCCCTTCGATTTAGTTCCCTTAATAAAACCATGGGCTCTTCAGACTACTTCTCTACAGTGGCCCTTGTCATACTGAATTACTTTAATTTTGTTTTAAATGTACATTTGGTTTTAAAGACATCTTAGACCAATCATAAAGTCAGTCATTAATAATAAATCAAATAATTGAACTCTTTTTTTTTTTTTTTTTTTTTTTTTTTTTTTTTTTTTTTTTTTTTTAATCTTTGCAGTTCTTGTCCAGAGTAGGGAGAAAAATGCAGTCTTGAGAAACAATGAGATAAAAGGAGCGCTCTTGACTGTCCCTTTCTTGGCAAAGGCTTCCTTCCCCTCAGTGGCGTTGGAAAGAGCGGGCTGCACATGCACACCTCAGCTTCCCGGGTTGTCAGGGTTCCGCTCCTCTCCGGACCTTCCCAGGTTAGAGACCTGTAATGCAGGGTTACAAAGCTTGCCTTTGCCTTGGATCACCACCCTTGAATTCAAAAATCTAATGAAGGAACCAAAATTAGAAAAAAAAATGCTTTGTTGCTTCTTCACTCAAAATGTTGCCTTTAGCTTCTTTTCTTGCTCCAACGATTCCCTTACAAGACAGATATTAATTATAGAGAGTCGGAGTCCACAGCAGAAATCAAGACACGGGCAGGAGAGCCTTCAAACTACCCCCATTCAAATGTGCTCATGCACAACCAACCCAGAAAAGTGAAAGAGGTGTCAGTAGTTCTCCCCAAAAAGATGGTGGCACAGTTAGGGCTGTGGTCCCAGCTTCTCCACCTCCTTCTCCTGAAGGGAATGAGCTGAGATGTCTCTTGGTTTCTACACTTTTTAAATCTCTGTTCTCTCTCCTCCCCTTCTGGCAGCTGGAACAAGCCAGCTGTTGGTAATGAACACATTCAGAGCCTAGTACCCTGGCTCAGCCTCATTCACTGTTCTGCGGGGCAGGAGAGGGCACTCAGGTATCTGGGGAGGCAGCTGAGCCAGTTCTCAGTCCCCGTTTGCTGAGAGTTACTGGTCTGAAAAACACACTTGCAGCTAATTGGCAATCGTCGCTTGCACTCTAATGGAAATCACTTGCTCCTCGAACAATCGTGAAACAAATAGAAAGCACCCAATAGCTGGATTTCTCAGCTTTAACACTGCCCGGCTGGATCCGAAGAGATGGCGTGAAATAAAATAAAGAAGCCACAGCTCATCACTTAGACATCCACTGCTCCCAGAGGAAGCCGTGGATTGTTCCTTCTCCACAGAGGAGCCGAGAGGGCCTCGGGGCCAGGGCAGAAGCATCGTGTACCTTCATGCGACGGCTTTGACTCTGTCCTTGGCTCGGTAGCAGTTCTGGAAAGAAAGAAAAATGCAGAATGCGGAGATGAGATCCTTTATCGGATGCCTACATCCCATAGGAGTCACATTTGGTATCACAGGAAACCATTTAAAATATTAAGCCCTTAATGGGACAGAACTTTGGACACAGTAAAACAACAACAGCAACAGCAATAGCTGTTTGTTGAGCATAAGGTTCTACATTACAGCTTTATTCGGAGTATCTTAATAAATCCTCATAACAATGCGTAGTAGATATGGGTGTCTTCATTTCAAAGATTAAAGAGTTGAACTGCAGAGAAACAGTGATTCACCCATGGTTTCTGATCTTCTAAGTGACAATTTTGATTTGAAGCCCACTGAACTGACTCCAGCATCCATGTCCAGTGCCCACTTAGTCACACCGCTCTACAGCGGGGTCCCCTCCAGCTGATGCCTTTAACCTGAGCAGGGAAGGCTTCAGCGTCTGCGCCTGCCTCCTTCTAGAGGGGCTGGACCTCCTCCCTCCCTCTAGGCCCTATGGGTCATCACAGACAGGCGCTCAATGTCCATGCAGAAGGGTCTTTATTGGCTTTCTACAACCATCCTGATGGCCTTCATGCTCTGATTTGGAGATTGTGCTGATCGGAGGCAAAGTCTTCAGTCTAAGGAGGAAAAGGGGGGTGTGGAAGTTGAGCAATGGAAGGCAGAAAGAACAGAGAAGATTTAGGGCCTTAATAAGCAGCATTTTGTTGCCTGCACAGTGGACAGCTCTCCTAAGGACCAGCCAGCCCGGGCAGCTGAGATGCTGTGAAGAGCTTCTGGCCCCAGGGAAGGCCTGGGTTCTGGGAGGTGGAGCTGCATTCCGTGAGAACCGCTTCGGCGTGACGTCTGAACTCCGGGCGCCATGTTCAGAACCCACTCTGAAACACAGTAGGAAGGAACATAACTGACAGTAGGACCCTTGGTACGCTGCCATTGAGGTCATGGGTGTGCACATCTGGGATTAGGTCACTGATTTTTCCCAAGAGTCAAGCTGTTGGTCAGGTGGAGTTGACAGAAGACAGCCAGATGCTTGGGGATCAATTTTACTTTGATAATTCAGCAGGCCTGTCAGCTGAGAGCCACCGATCTCCTTTTATCTCCTCCATAACAACTAGCAAAACCTATACAGTTTGCATCAGATGAGTTCAGTGGAGGAGACTGACATACAGTAAAGGCAGACATACAAAGGGGACTTAGTACTCATCCTGTAGCCTTTGGAGTAGGGAAATGGGGACAGGTACTGTCTTTAGGGAGAAGTCAGTGATGGAGAGCCGGGGGGTCCTAGAGGTCAAAGATAGCGCAGTTCCAGGTGAGGAAATGTCATAAGAAGAGAGACGGGCATATGCCAGGTGCAGAGGAGGAGAAATAACTGTTTGGGGTTCAGCATTTCCCACCTCCTTCGAGGTACCTGCCCTCGGCAGTGGGTGTGAGCATCTCTTGTCGGCTGAGGAAACTTGTCAAGGACCGCAGACCGGGGCAGGAAGAAAAGTCCCCGCTGTCTCCCCCAGTGCCCGAGCTCTTTCCTTCCCATCTTGTCCTCGCCAGAGCCTGGTTCTGTACAGGAGAAATGAGATGTAAGAGTACATATCTGGGGCCGGGGATTGAGCTCAGGGGTTCCGGTGCCTGCCTGGCGAGCGCAAGGGCCTGAGCTCAGTCCCCGATCAGAAATCAATAAATAAATCTCGGCACCAGAGAGAGAGAGGGAGAGAAACTAAAAACCGAAAGAGAATGCAGTCACTCTTTACTGGATCTGCTAGGGGAACATGTTTTCTAACCATAAAATGAATGAAAAAAATTACAAAAGGAAGAGGGACTTCTTGGTTGGTAAAGAAATTAAATTTTTTATATTTCACAAATATCATAAAATATAAACCCAGCAATACATTTTATTACAGATGATTGCGATAAATTTTTATAACTCATAAATGCCTCATAAAAATTTAAGAAAGACTAGACATCTCTGGAAAAATGGAAAGAAAGATGGATATTCAGTAACAAAGGTAAAAGCTAATATTTGAAAACCATTGAAAATTAAAAGACAGATTTTCTAGTCCTGAGTGCAGAAGTGTTGCCTTATCTACTGCTGTTGAAAATGTAAATACTTTGCTATAGTATCAATATTCTTATGTATTTGCTGCAATAATTCATTTATGCCTGGGAAGTAAGGAATCAGAACTTGGAAAAAACACTTTTGAAAGATTATTTGCTTTACATTTAATCAGCTAACTGACACATAAAAACATACAACTACACATATTATTGGGGCATCGTGTGGCATTGTTTGATATATATACAGATCATCAAACAAATGTACACCCACCTCTGCAGTTCACCATACTATTAAACGTCTGGAAGCTCATGGCCACCACTTCGAGCACCTCTTGTAGTTGTAGAAGCCAAAGGTAACTTGTATTAATCTCATGATGTCTCAGTAAATTTAGTGTTAACATTTTTTTTGTTTGTTTTTTTGAGACAAGGTCTCACTGTGTAGTTGAGACTGATCTGGATGTAGCCCAGGCTGGCCCCAAACTCACAGTGATCCTCCTGCCTCAGCCTTCCGAGTGCTGGGATTACAGGCGTGCGCCACCATGCCCGGTTAGTGTTAAAATATTTATACAGGTTTCTCTTTTTCTGATGTATACGTTTTTGGCAGGCTCTGTATATATACACACATATAAATATATTTGTCTCTTTAAACATGTATTATTTCTTTAAAATAATTTATATGTGTTTTTGTTTCTCTGTTGAGCTAAGTCTTGCTCTGTGCCCCAGGCTGGCCTGAAGATCAGATCCTCCTGCCTCAGCCTCCCAAGTGCTGTCTGTGACTACGGGCCTGACCCACTATGCCAGTGCAAGATATTTTATATTCTCAGTGGACAAATAATGGAAAACACTATAATGTTAAATGAAAAAAAAAAAAGACGTCTATTGGTAGATGATTATCCTACCATGCCCAGCATGGAAAATTCCCACAAAATGGCATTGTTAGTTTTGCATTAAATGTACAATACTGTCCACAGATTATCTGAAAGTGCAGTACATGCTCAGACAAGAAGACTACAAAGAAATAAGACACAGGGCTGCTATCTTTTTTAACTGGTGAGATTAGGAGTACTTTCTAAATTTATTTTTCGTAATCTCTATAATAAATACGTACTGTTTCCAAGGTAACATTTTAACTTAATCACCTAGCTTATGGCTGTCCCTTCCTTCACTTACTGGAACGGCAGTACTGGGAACCTACTATGGGCTGCGGAGAGTCCGTGTTCCCAACTAGCTTTTAAACTATCAAGTGGAAAATCACAATACAAAGAAGTACTACAAATAAAGGTAAAACATTTCCCCAAGAAATCAAAACATGGACTCTGAGAAAGTGGACGTCACAGAAGTGGAGAGAAGGGAGATCACTGAGGCCAGGTGGGGGACGGGGCGGGTGGACAGCGGCAGGCGAACAGGTGCAGAAGC